CTTACTTCACATTTAACATTGAATTATATCTGCCATTTTGTTGCCCAGTCACCCAGTTTTTTTAGTTCCCTTTGTAATTCTTCGCAATCTGCTTTGGACTTAACTATCTTTTGTATCGTCTGCAAAAGTTGCCACCTCACTGTTCACCCTTTTCCAGACCCTTTATGAATACGTTGAACAGCACTGGTCCCAGTACAGATCCTTGGGTGGGACCCTGCTATTAACTTCTTTCCACAGTGAAAACTGGCCATTTATTACTACCCTTTGTTTCCCGTCTTAACAAGTTACTGATCCATGAGAGGACCTTCCTTCTTTTCTCATGGCTCCTTACTTTGGTTAAGATTCTTTGGTGAGGGATCTTCTCGAAGGTGTTCTGAAAGTCCAAGTGCACTCTATCCACTGGATCAGCCCTGTCCACGTTTTTGTTGACCCCTTCAAAGAATTCCAATAGATTGGTGAGGCATGATTTCTCCTTATAAAAGCAGTGTTGATTCTTCCACAACAAATTGTGTTCATCTATGTGTATGATAATTCTCTGCTTTCGTATAGTTTCAATTTGCCTCGTACTGAAGTTAGGTTTACCAACCTGGATTTGCCCGGATTGCCTCTGGAGCCTTTTAAAAAAAATTGGTGTTAAATCAGCCTCTGTACCAGATGACTGGTGGATAGCTAATGTAAGCAATAGGTCACATACCAAAGTTTGTAGTTCTGCAATTTCATATCTGAGTTCCTTCAGAACTCTTGATTGAATATCATCTGGTCCCGGTGACTTATTACTGTTTAAATTGATCAATTTGCTCCAAATTCTCCTCTACTGACACCTCAATCTGGGACAGTTCCTCAGATGTGTCACCTAAAAAGAATGGTTCAGGTGTGGGAATCTTCTTCACATCATCTGCAGTGTAGACCAATGCAAAGAACTCATTTTGCTTCTCTGCAATGGCCTTGTCTTCCTTGAGCGCTCCTTTAGCACTTGAATCATCCAGTGGCCCCACTTACTGTATGGCAGGTTTCCTGCTTCTGATGTACTTACAGTTTTTTGGCTGTTAGTTTGAGTCTTTTGCTAGTTACCCTTCAAATGCTTTTTTGGCCTGCCTAATTATACTTTTATACCTGACTTGCTATTTTCCTCAATATCATTTGACTTCCAATTTTTAAAAGATGCCTTTTTGTCTCTAACCATCTCTTTTCCTCTTCTGTTTAGCCATTTTTGGTCTTTTTTTAATTTGGGGTATACATTTAATTTGAGCCTCTAATAGGGTGTTTTTAAATAGTTTCCAAGCAGCTTGCAGGCATTTTATTCATGCCTGTTCCTTGTAGTTTCTGTTTAACTAGCTTGGTCATTTTTGTGTAGTTCCCCTTTTTGACATTAAGTGCTACTGTGGTGGGCTTTTGTTTCCCTCCTCCCCCACAAGGACATTAAATTTAATTACATTATGGTTGCTATTATGGAGCGGTTCAGCTATATTCACCTCTTGGACCAGATCCTGCACTCCACTTAGGACTAGATCAAGAATTGCTTCTTCCCTTGTGGGTTCCAGGACCAGTTGCTCCAAGAAGCAGTCATTTAATGTGTCTAGACATTTTTTCTCTGCATCCAGTCCTGAGGTGATAGGTACCCAGTCAATATGGGGATAGTTGAAATCCCCTATTATTGATGGGGGCTTTGGGGAGAAATTTTTTGTAGCCTTTCTAATCTCTTTTAGCATTTCACAATCACCATCACCATCCTGCTCATGTGGTTGTTAGTGTATTCCTACTGCTATACTCTTATTCAAGCATGGAATTTCTATCCATAGAGATTCTATAGTACAGTTTGTTTCATTTAAGATTTTTAGTATATTTAACTCTATGCTTTCTTTCACATATAGTACCACTCCCCCGTCAGCACAACATACTCTGACATTCCTCTATATTTTGTATCCAGGCCTCACCATGTCCCATTGATTACTGATTTTTGCCCTAGATTCCCTAAGTGGCCCCCTCAAGGATTGAACTCACAACCCTGGGTTTAGCAGGCCAATGCTCAAACCACTGAGCTATCCTATTATTCTACCAAGTATCTGTGATGCCTATTATATCAATATCCTCACTGAATGCCAGGCAATCAAGTTCACAGATCTTAGTATTTAGACTTCTAGCATTTGTACACAAACACATAAAATTTGTCAATATTTCATTGACTACCTTCAGTCTTCCTTGTTTGACAGTTTCTCTCCAGTTTCAACCTGTACTTTACCAACTTCTATCCTCTCCTCTTTACTAGGCTATCCGAATATCCTCTTTAATAAATCCTCCCCTAAGAGATGTCTGTCTGAACTGTATGCTCCTCTGCACCTGTTGGCTTTTCCCCAATCCTTAGTTTAAAAGCTCCTCTATGACTTTTTTAATTTTACATGCCACTAATCTGCTTCCGTTTTGGTTTAGGTAGAGCTCATCCTTCCTGTATAGGCTCCTTCTTTCCAAAAAGGTTCCTCAGTTTCTCATAAACTGAAATCCCTCCTCCCAACACCATCATCTCATACATTCATTAAGACCCTGCAGTTCTGCCTGTCTAACTGGCCATGTGCATGAACTGGAAACAGTTCAGAGAATGCTGCCATGGAGGTCCTAGATTTTATTTTCTACCTAGCAGCCTAAACTTGGACTACAGGGCCTCTCTCCTACCTTTCCCTATATCACTGGTACCTACATGTACTTAGACCCCTGGCTTCTCCCAAGCACTGCACATAAGTATCTGCATGTCTCCAGAGGTCCACAACCTTCACACTCCTAACCAAAAAAGGGTATTAAATGGCAATAAACTTTGTTCACACAGTTAAGGATGCCCAGTGAGAGCTCATGCCCTTCTAGAACACTGTTTGGAAAAACCCAAACTTCAGAAAACCAGGAATACAGAGTTAAGTTACATACCCATGTAACCTTAACTCTGCCCTCTAAGAGATAACCCAAAACAGCCCTATCACACATACTTGCACTCTGCTTTTTCACTGTACAGGAAAGGAGCTACCTGCATCTGCTCTACCCTCAAAAACTTAGGGTACTCTCCTGACAGAATACCACACTTGTGAAATTTAACAACCACTTCACACTTACTCACAGGATACCAGTGAATGGGGCTCAGCCACCATTCGGGGGCAAGGAACCCCAGATTGTAATTCACATGAAGGTGGGGCAGGGAGAGAGGCTCAGACTGCCCTAGAGGGGCAAAGGGCCCCCAGATCCTGGCACACACACAGAAGGGGAGAACATGGGGTTTAGACAACCTTGCCCCCATTCTCCCCTAGTCACCCTGCCACTCACCCCATGTCTCCTTCCCAGTGTCCCTCTCCTTCACCTGAGCCACCCAACTCCTCTCACCCCTCCACCATCCATCCTCATTTATCCCACTCCCCATAATCCCCCCTCCCCTCAATGCAGCCCCAAACTCCTCTCATTTCTATTCCCCCCCCACACACACACACTCCTCCACACTAAAATGTCCCTTGCCTACCAGGAAACAGTCACATGTCTTTTGTGGGGGGAGGGGGAGGAGAAAGGTAATCAAAGTACTTTCACTCAAAACAACCAAATCACCACACCTGACAGAGACAAATCTTAGCAACATGATTCTGACCTTTTCAAGATTTCTGCAGTAAGTGGGACTTGAACTGACACAAAAGGTTAGGGGTAAAGGACGACTGCTTAGCCCCTTGGGCTATCCAGCTAGTAACAGAATTTTCAGCCTTAAAAAAAATTCATAACTTCATGCATGCTGAGAATAATCTGTTCGACATGTGAACTTTAGAACTGCTTGGCACATGCCAAACTGGAGAAGCAAACTCTTTTTCAAACAATGCTTTTAGCTGATTTCCCCCCCAAAGGGCTGGTGGGTACCATACACTCTACTGGCGTAACCCTCAAGTACTGGAGATAGTGCAATGTTACGAGCCATGGTTTGAACTCTATCTGTGCACAGAAAAAGGGTTGCCAGAATAAGTCAACTTTAAGAAAAGCTTCCCACCCCCACTCTTACCATCCCCCATCCTGTGGTGTATGTTAAGAATCCCTTGGCTAAATGGTTCTACACTTGGATCACTAACCCTACCCTGAATCCCCATGAGGGGCACCAAATTTCAAGGCAATCCAAGTAACCATACCATTTTAGAGTATTTAGAACAGTCAAACTTTAAACAGAAAGCTGGTCTTAACCATAACAATAACAGAGCTGCTGCTCTGCTACAATCCTTCCTCTCTACCTGCAGCTGTAACTGATGTCAATGTGAGCTGAGTGCTCAGCATCTCTCAAAATACAGGCATATTTAAAAGTGACTGATCTATAGGTAGCTAAATTTGAAAAAAATTACCATTGATTTAATCTATTTGGTCTAGAGACTTCTAATTATTAGGCATTCAAAAAGCAAAACTAATCATGAAAACAAATCTCTGAATCATATGAGATTTACTCATCATAATTATATTACACATCTCCATTATTATGTTAACATACCAGTATTTACTGGAAAATAGTAAGGGCCAATTTGTCAAAAATCTGGATTCCACATCATTACATGGTAGAGAAGAATATTCCCTTCAATACAGGAATTATTGGGTGAAGGACTATGGCTTGTGTTGTGCAAGTAGGTCAGAATAGAAGATCATAGATTCTTTTTAAGGTCAGAAAAGACCACTATTAATTGTGCCAGTTTGCACAATTAGAAGGTCACAGAAGCCCATCTTTAGTGGGAAGCAGAAATGGATTCTACAGATTTGAGGGGGCTACTGCACCACAAACTGCACTCTGCTGAATCGTGTTCTGTGGTAAACCAGATTTTAAAAGTTATAAAGGAAGAAAAACTTTCAAGGCAATCAGCTACATCATTCATTAAGTCAGTAAAAAAAACCCAAAACAAACAAGAAACCCATATGCAACAACAAATCCTCCCACCACTGATATGTCAGCAAAATCTAATTAGTCAGTTTCTAAAATGACATCTTTGTTTATTCTCAAACTGACTTACCGTTCTCTGTTAAATTTCAGAGAATGAAGAATAGCCGGCCGTTTCTGTCTTAGGTTCCACAAATGAAGTGTGTCATCTGCACTCGCACTGACCAAGGCACCCTACAACAATCAGAGACAGAATATGGTGGAATGTTATTCATTTGCATATTGAAAGGGAAGATTATTTAAGAATAAGACAATAATCTGTAAGTAGACAGCAGTACAACATCTGTGAAATACTTATTTTCCTTCTGAAAAAAATACTCTGCAACAACCATTACTTTGCTTTGATTGATCCTGTACTAACATAAAATGTTCAAATTTGAGCTGATCTGGAAAATCAAAGAGCTCATTCTAGTATTAAACATTTGATATTAAATGTGTTTGTGATTGATAAACCAGGAAGAGTGCAGAAGAATGGGAATAAGAAGGAAGGAGGTAATAGCTTGAAAAGATGGGTTTGAAGGAGGCAGTTGAAGCAAGGAGAGAGTGCTTAGCACACTGGGAAAGGGAGACTGCCCCAGGCACAGTATAAATAGTCACATCAAGATAACAGAAAATGCAAAATCAAGAATGAGAAAAGGATGTGAAAGTAAGAGGATAGGGATGAAAGTAGGGAGACTGAGCAGGGGAAGTGAGAAGAGATGCAGATGGCGCTGGGGAACAGGGTCGGGGGCACGGGGAGCTTCCCCAGCTGCCAAGCCGCACTACTCTGCCCACCTGGCACTACAGTCCGGGAGTGGGGTCAGGGCACAGGGGCTTTCCCCGCCCACCTGGAGCTCAGGGGCCCCCAGTTGGTCGGGGCCCTAGACATGGGCCCCGTAGGCCCAGTGGCTAATCTGCCACTAGTGGACAGTTGTAAGCAAAAAAGGTGGATTTTGGTTACAATAAAGAGGAAGAAGTGATGTGACTTAAAGATTGACTATGGGAGAAGGGATGGGGAGAGTACAATCAAAAATTGTGGGCCTGGGAAACAGGAAGGAAAGTGGAATTCTCAATCAAGATAGAGAAGGGAAGCAGAGGAGGAGGAGGAAAGGTGAGAAGACTAGAGTTTGAGATGGTGGTTGAACATCTACAGCTGTCCCTCTGGCATCTATTCTTAAATGTGAATGGATACAGAGTGAGAGGTAAATCCAGAACTGTCAGATTTGACGTGGTAGTTAAATCCATGAGAAAAGAGACATGTACACAGAATAGAAATAGGAGAGGAGAGGACAAAGAAAAAACCCTGCAGAAAACCCCACAAAGGAGCTAATAAAGAAGACACTGAATGAATAGTCAGCAGGTGAATACATGATCTAGAGGAGCACAGAACCACAAAAGCTAAGATCGGAAAGAAAGCAGGGGAAGGAAGAGTGATTCACATGACAAAATGGTGGCACATGCATTTTTTGGTGTTCACACATATACTCCAAAAGTAATTGTCTCAACTTTAGTGTAAGTAGGAAAGGCTGAATAGAAATGTTTCATTAAATAAGTTTTAAATACCTATGTTAAACTATTTTGCCTAAGAATATGCTCTAGGCAGTTACACCTATAGTTAAGGTTGCCTGAGACGTTCCATTATAAAGGTCCTATTTTCAGTTGCTTATAACTTTGCCAAACATTGCCTGTTCAGGCTGAAACATTTCATGCCATACTCAAAATGAGTTTTTCTGGGAAGTTTCAGCTAAAATGATTCAGTTGTTTCTCAGAACAAGATTAGGAAAAAAATGTTGTTTTGCACATGTTAAAATGGTTGTAAATTTTTTGTTGTTGTGAAGCTCCAATGCCTCCTTGCTTTGGAGCAGGGGGTGGTGTGTGTGTCAGGAATGTGCCTTTTGCCTTCCTCATGAAAGTCTGCCCAAATGTGGACAGTTTAGGAGCCTTTCAAAAAAACAAACAAACAAAAAAACCAACCACACACACAGGTTGGACATGCTCATGCTCTTATTAGAGTTTGAAAACTACATTCTCTGAGGATTCTGTCTGCACTGAGCAAGCTCCAACCCTCACAGCTTCTCCATGCTGACTAGACTGTGTATGTACCATCTGCACAGAGTGACCGAGTAAGCTCCATCTGCAGCGGCATGGGCTGAGGCTTATCTCTGCTATTGCTCCTCCTAGCTGCCAGGGGCTGCTGTGGCACCAGAACTTTGAGCAGAGAAACTCTCTCCTGTACTCCTTCCGGTGCACACACGGTATGGAGAAAATGGAATCTGCCTGCCTTGAATTGGTGGGAGGAGGCCTGATACCCCATAATTAATAATTAATTATTATTATTATTTCCAGAGTAAGTTTTATTCAGGGGTTGGATCCCAAATCACTTTGCATAGTATTTATAGGGATCAGTTCTGATTATTCTGAGTTCCCTGAGACTATGACATTTCAGCTAAGCAGAAATTTTGTATTAGTGCCATTTTTGTTAGTTCACTAATTTCTATCTCAGACATGTCTGTGCAGTGAGGAAGATGATCCATGAATTTAGGTTACACATATGCAGCTTGCTGTGTGTTCAGTATTTCACATCACCATATAAAGGCCCTGATTCTATCACCCATACTTACATTGAGTAATACCTTTTACTATATATAGTCCCATTCATTTTAACAGCATTACGTACACAGAAAATTATATTTCTGAGTGCAAGTATGAGCAGCAGAATCAGGTCCATAGTTTCTTGCTGGCCCCTTTGTTTGCCCTATCTGGAAATTACATTGCAAAAATATATAGATTGCACCATTCAACCATATTTAAAGAAAGAAGATTCTGCAAACTGTACGTATAGCCTTACCTCATTGATTAAGAACTGGAGCTGCAGTACCGCGGCACCACTTTCGTGTTGGCAGTAGCAATCAACACCAGGTCTGCCCAGTCTGTTGCAGTCAAAGTCAAGGATTCTGACATTTCGGTTATCACCAAGAGTAAACAGCAAAGAGGACACGAACAGAACTCTCTCGCAATTAACCTTAGATTTAACAATCGTTCTTGCTTTCTCTAAAGCAAAGCAGTATACACTTATCTTCAGCTGTTTTAATTAAAGTATCAGCACTATCACCCTGAAACATGTGCAATTATGAGTGATATGTTCTTGGCCATATTCCTCCCTATGAATGAAAGTGCATAAATTATCATGAAGATACAGCCAAAACACATCTTAAACTCCAATTTATTTTATTTCATCCTCATAGTATGTGTTCATATTACAGCTGTCCATATCAGATGTTTTTAATTATCTAGGTCATATAAAACTAATAATTTAGGAGCAGGGTCAATAACATGTTATGCACCATTTACACTGTTTCCCCCCCTAAAAAGTGTGTATTATTTCAAGTGAATAATTTTGCCTATTTATTATGTTCTACCTGTAATTGTTACTCCATTCTCTGAATGTAACTTTCTGCATAGGTCTGTTCTCCTTGGCTCTTTTGTCTCTGAAAGCTATTTTTAGGCAATAAAGAATCTCTTAGGGATGGTAGTGTGCTTTGCATCTTAAAAATGTGCATGTGTCAATCTCCAACTGGTTCGTTCCTTTTAAACTAAAAAAAGAGTTACAGTCTAAACAGAATAATAAGAAAATCTCACAATTTTACATAGCCGACAAGTTAAAAGAGCATTACTGTTGCAGGTAAAGGACACTGAGCAATTCTCCCCTGGAGAGTTGAAGCTCTTTACAATATCAATAAACTTTGGTGTGTGATACTCAGAAAGATCTGTGGGACCAAGATTGAGGGATCCAATCCATAACTCCTCAGGAGTTAATTATAGCAATGAGAATGATCAAATATTTACATTGTGAGCACTATCTGAAATTCACCTATGTACAGAGGGAGCCTGCACAAAGACTATACACCACTTTATTCCCTCTTACACTTTATTTTGAGGAGATTTAGGAGCCAGTCAAAATCTGTGTTCTTGTAAAATCAAGCAAATACTGTACCCTTTCAAAGGGTGGTAGAGCTTCACTCCAGCTTGAGCTCTCTCAGACTCCCTGAACACATTCTGGAAGAATCGGAGGTTCCTGTATAGTCTGACCACTCCGAACTAGAATCCTGATACGCAATCTGGACCCCGTGGGACCCAACAAATATCAGGTCTGGGTTGTGTTGGGTGGGAAGACAACCGGATCCTCTTGGTCTTGGATCAGGTCTCTTCCACCTGCCTGTGGGGTTGGCACAGTGACATTGGCAAGAGCCGGACACATAGCTGCCACTGTACCTACCCCACAGGCAGGAGGCAGTGCAGCACTGACTCAGGTTCAGGGGGGAAGGGTCAGGTCAGAAAATGACTATGCTCTTGGGCCTTGGTTGGGCCAAAAAATTAGACTGGAGTATACTCTACCTAAACCTCCTCTTCCCACAAATACAGGCCATGGTTTTAAGTCTGTATCTCATCCTAAATCCCCTAACCTGAGTCAAGATTAAAATCTCAAATAAACTGGCATGTACTCAACATAGTTTTAGCTCCAGAAGCATAAGGTGTACTGTATAAGAAATAAAGATGTCTTTATGTCAGTTTCAAATAGCTTTCACAGAAGTATAGAAGCTTGGAAAGGTAGCAATTAACTGTTAGTATTGGTTTACTATCAAAATTTGGCATATTTAAATTGCTTGACAAAGCTTGCTGTGATAAATATGGGAATTTTATGATGCCCATGTGTACCTCATTTTCCCTCTGTGCTTTGTACTGCTATACACGGAGTGTAAAGAGCAGGATACATTAGGTGTTTGAGTCATGTAATTGTCTGGGGGTGATACGAACAGGTCATTAAGGACTGGCTGGAACCAATGTATATCAGTGGAAGACCCTACAGAGACAACAGGAACCCCAATCACTGAAGATTAACACCTAACTGCAGAGGCTGAACATGTGAACATAGCATGGCTGTGCCAAGAGAATGAAGAGAGGTGTCAGGGATCTGTTTTAAGTACTGGCCTCAGAGACACAGGAGCTCTCACCTGGGATTTGGGCCTGGTCTACACTAGAAAATTAAGTCAGCATAACTATTTCACTCAGGGGTGTGAAAAATCCACACCCTGGGCAGCATAGTTAAGACAACCTAAATCCCTGTGTAGACAGTATTAGGTCGATGGAAGAATTCTTATATCGATCTAGCTACCACCTCTCAGGGAGGCAGATCATCTACACCAATGGCAGAAGCCCCCATGTTGGTATAGATAGTGTCCACACTGAAGTGCTACAATGGCACAGCCAGGGCCGGCTCTGGCTTTTTTGCCGCCCCAGGCAAAAAAGCCTCCGGCCGCCCCCCCGGGGGGGGGGCCGGCCGGAGCCCCGGGGGGAGGGCGGCGAGCCCCGGCGGGGGGAGGGCGCGGGGGGGGGGGGGGGGGGGGGGCCGGGGCGCCGGGGGGGGGGCGGGGCCGGCTGTGGCCCCGCTCTCCCCGCCGGCCGGAGCGCCGCGCCGCCCCCCTCCAGGTGCCGCCCCAAGCACCAGCTTGGTTGCCTGGTGCCTGGAGCCGGCCCTGGGCACAGCTGTAGCACTTCAGAGTAGACAAGCCCTAAGAAAAAGGGAAAGTGACAAGAGAAAGGAAACTAAGCTGCTTCCTACAACAGCATGGCTCAAGGGAGCCCTGGCTTTAGACAGAATGGACTGTCATAATCTTTGGTCTCTCTCTGTTGAAGAAAGGATTTCCCAGTGCTGTATTCCAGTTGACTAATCAACCTTACTCTGTCTTGAAAAGGCTACATGGAGTCACTGCAGATACCTGCTGAAGTGCACTGATCGCTGAAGGGAGTAAACGTCTCTGAATAGGACTCTGCTTCGGTCACATTCACTGGGCAGAGCTCATGGTGAGAAACTGGAGTGCTGGAGCCAAGAGGCTCAGTCTAGGAGTTGCTGAGGCCACATTGCCTATGCTTGTAGAAAAGTATGACCCATTGGGGGCCTGGCCCTTTGAAGATGTCCTCCCCAGACCCATGACACCACAATGCTAGCTCAATATCCAGCCTCCCACAGGATCTTACAGGGAAGAGTAGAAGTCATCTGGCCACGATATCACCAGCAATAACTATATGAGGAGTGGCTTAGTTAGCCCACACGACTACTGTGATAGCCTTCAGTAGCAGTCCTCACTGGAGCTATGGGCAGGGCCGGCTCCAGGCACCAGGCACCCAAGCTGGTGCTTGGGGCGGCACCTGGAGGGGGGCGGCGGCGCTCCGGCCACCGGGGAGAGCGGGGCCACAGCAGGGCTCGCCACCCTCCCCCCGGCGCTCTGGCCGCCCTGCCCCCGGCGCTCTGGCCGCCGGGGGGGGGGCGGAGAGCCGAGCCCCCGCCGGGGCTCGCCGCCCTGCCCCCGGCGCTCTGGCCACAGGGGGGGGAGAGCCAAGCCCCAGCCGGGGCTCGCCGCCCTCCTCCCAGGGCTCCGGCCGGCGGCCCCCCCCTGTGGGGGGGGGCGGCCGGAGGCTTTTTCGCCTGGGGCGGCGAAAAAGCCAGAGCCGGCCCTGGCTATGGGATACTCACTGCAGAAGAACACGACTCCTAGTAGCAAGTTTTGTCAGGACGAGGTCCTTAAAATCTGATCCCAAACCCACTGTAGTCAAAGGAAAGTCTCCCACTGACTTTCATGGGTTTTGTATTGGACCTCAAGGGTCTGTCTACACTGCAATAAAACACCTAGGGCTGACCTGCGTCAGCTGACTCTGGCTCCAGCCCAAGCCCAAATATCTACACTGCAATTGTATAGCCCCACAGCCCAAGCCCAGGTCAGCTGACACAGGCCAGCAATAGGTGTTTTAATGCAGTGTAGACATATCTGTAGTTAGCATGACCGTGCAATTCTTGTGAACAGAAGTCACAGTACTATAAGTACAAACAGATATAGCTAATGTGAAAAGCAGTCGACATAGCTACAGACTTTGTCATTTACATAAATGTTATTATTTTCATTTATTGTTTTAGTGCCTACAATGAGCTCAGCACTGGACAAGATACAAAGATAAAAATATGTACAGGATACAAAGTCTATGCCCCAAAGTGTTTTCAGTTGAAAAGATATATACAGAAAAGACAGTGATGGAAGAGAGAGAGAAGGAATTACACAATAAATGTTTTTTAAATTATTCTTGTGAACTCAACTTTTCCACACAGAAGTAGTGAGTTTATCAGAGTGATCTGAATAAAAATAAGGTGGCAGTTTTGTGTACTAGGGTTCACTGGATACAAGATAAGATACAGAAGAGCATGGAGACAGACATGGTAAAAAGAAACAAATGGGGCATCAGTGGTGGAGTTGTGGGAGATATGAAAAGAGACAAGGTCCAATGTTCATATTGGACTTTTTTAGGAACTTGAAGACAAACAAGAACTTTATACTTAACGCAATGGATAAGGAGAAGCTAGTGGCAGGTTTCAAAAGATGGGGTGATATGGTTAAAGGGACAGGCAAGAAAGATAATGAGATTGCTCAAATTAAGTTCTTGGCCTCAGTGATGACCCATGGCAGTGTCTCTCAGTCTAATTACACATTGTGCAAAAAGTTTTATCAGTGTTGAATTTGTCATCATTCAGTTTCACCTTCTCTATACCATTCATTTTTATCATGTTCCCCTCTTATGTCTCCTAAGAGATGAGGAAAAGCCCTGGTCCAAGAGAGAATTCAATGGAGAATGAGCACAGGGGAGGTTTGGATTGAGTGGGCATTCCTACAGGTGAATATCTTTGCTTTAATTTGAATTTTACACTTCATTATAAATAAATGGCACTAGCTAATGTATTCCTATTAGATGGGAAATTATGCTAATGCTGTTCTTAACCAGCTGTCGCCACCATTCACCATCAAAAGATGAAATCAGTCTTGTGGGAGAAAAATCTAATGAAGCAGATGACTCCATTCAGTATGGCCCAAAAAAATGTTACAGG